GGGACCAAACTGCAACCGAAGTACGTGCCCCTGACCGGAAACGAACCCATGACTCTTTGGTCTGAGGGTTGATGCTCCAACCGCTGAGCCACACTGGCCAGGGCGCTGGTCATCTTTTTTTTTTTTTTATCATCACCCGAGGACATTTTTCCTTTTTTTTTTTTTTTTTTGTTCAGACAGAGTGGGAGGGAGAGAGAGAGAGAGAGAGTGAAAGAAACACATCGAGTGGCTGCCACCCGCACAACCCAACCAGGGCCGGGGACACGCTCGGGGACAAACTGCAACCGAGGTACGTGCCCTTAGCGAGAACTGAACCCGGGTCTCTCCGGACCGCAGGCCAACGCTCTAACCACTGAGCCAAACTGGCCAGGGTGCTGTTCATCTTCTTAACAGGCTGCATTTCCACTGCGTCCGGGTCTGCTCACAAAGGACAGCCTTGTGAGTTTTTGTCATCCGCCCCAAATTTCCTACTGGAGGATTTGACTTTTCTGCCTGGAAAGATAGAGACCAAGTCCCGCAGGAGTTAGGCAGATGGCCACCAGGTGTGGCAGGGCAGAGAGAGGCGCTGATGCCTTCTGAACAGGAAAATGGTACCAAACACCGCGAGGTGCCCGGAGTCTAGCTGATAACACGCATTCCCCGACCACTTCGTTTAAAAGACCTCTCAGACGCTAGCAAAACAAGCAGCAAACAACCCTATCCGGAAAAGAACCTGCAGAACGATCTACCTCGAACACAAGGATCTTGGAAGCTACCTCTTCTGCACAGAAAACGTTCTCCTTCACCAGTCACTGGGTTCAACAGCCGCTGGAGGCCAACAAACTGAGACGGTATTGAGTCCCAAGTGCAGTCTGTGTGAGGCTGAGCTCACCACCTTCTGCACAAGCCTCTTCCCATCCCGGCTTGAGATTGCAGACTTCGTCAAATCCATGTCCCTAACTCACAGGAGGGAAGAAGACTGCTTATATGAATTAAGGGAGAAAGGACCCCATTAAGCTCTGTGCGCCCATTTTTAAGTTGTACTACTGTTCACAGAAAGAGGTAGAGGGAGGTGGAGGGCAGAGCATGTAGGAGTCACGCAGATTTTATTTCAGATTATAGCCACACAAGACAAGACGTGCTAGGGCAGGGCTGAGGGAGCAGGTGCTGGGAGGTGTGCAGTCTGGCTGGGAGGAGAGTGGGCATCTTTTCAGCACGGTGCCTGGTGGAGGAGGTGCTGGGCAAGCGGTGAGTAATTGAAAGGAGGTGGTGGGTGTCTGGACATTAACTGGATGCCAAATGAGCCTTCCTCCATGGAGGGGCAGACAGGGACTGTCCATGAGAGCAAAGCCCAACCTGAGTCCACTCCCAGACCTGTCCAGGGAGTGGCAAGACTTGGCTTGTGTCCTGGCAGGAGGCTGGAAACATGGGGTGACACTTCGAACAGTATTTGGTAGACAATGAATTCTCCAGAAAGCCAAGGGTTTGGGCCACTAAAAACTGCATTTTCGAATGCAATGTTGGTGGTCCTATAGATGACAACTCTTACAGAAGCAAAATGGGTTTTAGAAACGTAATGATCGTTTGGCTGAGAGATAAAAAGGTAGTGATATGAAGTCGATGATGGGGGGGGGTCTGGAAAAAATATTTGGGATCTACTTTGTTTCTTCAGTAGTTAAGAGGATGTTTGTCTTGTCTTAGACAAGCACTCTCTCTTTTTTTTTTTTAATCCTCATCCGAGGACATTTTTCCATTTTTTGTACAGACAGAGTGGGAGGGAGAGAGAGAGGGAAACATCGATGTGAAAGGGACACATCGAGTGGCTGCCACCCGCACGACCAACCAGGGCCGGGGACAAACTGCAACCGAGGTACGTGCCCTTAGCGGGAACCAAACCCGGGTCTCTCTGGACCACAGGCCGACGCTCTAACCGCTGAGCCAAACCGGCCAGGGCGGGCACTCTCTCTTGATCCTGCAGCTTTTCACACGCTGCCTTCAGGGTCACGTTCTGTAACGTACCTCCTGCTCCTTCCCCTCCGGAGAGCACACCAGTCTGGCTCCTGCCCTCACCACCCCAGACACTGTTCCTGCGGAAGGCCTGAGATGCAGCCAGGTACCTTCCGTTCCTCACCTTGCCAACTTCTACCTTCAGCATGGGAAGGGCTGACTGCGTCTCCTGTGCCCCTTTTCTGCCTCTCGCTCCCACTTATTACCCCTCGAATATCTCTGTTCCCTGTCTGTTTCAGCCCCTGCCACGCCAGCTGAGCGCTAATGACTACCAGATCCCTACCTCCTCCCAGCCCTAGCTCCAGCCTCCACCTGTGCTTATCCAATGGCCTCCTAGACATCTTCATTTATTTGCCCCAGGGGCAACTCAAACTCCATAGGCCCCAGAAGGAAGTCATTTAATTCACTTTAGTTAACTGAATGGGGCCTCACTTCCTCAAGTGTGACACAGGGGTATTACTAATAGCCACCTCATACAGAAGCCTGTTACGGAGATTAAGTAACACAGAATAGCATGTCAGATAGACCCTGGCACATGAGAACGATGTACAGGTGTTAACCATTATCCTGCCTTCACACACCCTGTCCCTCCTCCCCACATATTCCCTAAGTTGACTTATAAACCCAACCACCCACACTGTTCAAGCGAACCATCACCATCTTTCTTTTTTAATTTGATTGGGTATCTATATATACATATATAGATATAGAGAGAAGAAACATTAATTTGTTGTTTCACTTATTTGTGCATTCATTGGTTGATTCTTTTTTCTTAAATGTTTTTATTGATTTTTAGAGAGAAAGGGAGAGGGAGAGGGAGAGAAACATCGAAGTCAGAGTGGAACATCGATGGGCTGTCCCCTACACGTCCCCTACCTGGGATTAAGCCTGCAACCCAGGCATGTGCCCTGAGAGGGAATCAAACTGGCAACCCCTTTGGGTGCACTCTAACCACTGAGAACACTGGCCAGTGCACCATCCCACTTAAATATCTGACTTTGTTCCTTCTTCGCTCCAGTGCCTTAAGCCCTCAGCATCCCCTGGGAGCAAGGCTATTTTTTTGTTCTCACCCGAGGACACTTTTTTTTTTTTTTGCATTTATCTTCAGATAGAGCTGGAGGGAGAGAGAGAGAGAAACATCCATGTGCGAGAGACACATCACCCGGTTGCCACCCACACAGCCCCAACCGCCGGGACAAACCGCAACCAAGGTGCTTGCCCTTTGCAGAAACCAACCCGGGGGTTGGGGGGTCCCTCTGGTCTCACTGCCAAGCCAAACCGGCCAGGGGAAGGGCTATTCTTTCCCTGACTCCACTCTTGCTTCTCCAGTCTTTCTTCTGAGAGCACCCCCACCCTCTTCCTCTCTCCATGGCTGCGCACTACTCTGGGACTACACTCGAGCTCCTCAGGGTGGCGGAGAGACTCTTTGGGCCCTGGTTCAACCGCCCCGGTCCACCTGGCTGCCCAGCGGCCGCTGGCCCTCCTCGGGGGAAGCTGGTGCACAGCGCTCATCGAGCTCAGGCTGCAGTGTCTTCTCCACACGTCGCTGCTTCTGCCAGATGCCGCCCAGGTGCCCCTTCCTCCGAGAAGCCTCCCTGGACTTCCAGGCGGACGACTCTGCCCCGGGCCCGGGGTCCTGCCCCGACACTCCTCGTGCTCTGCTCCCCACTGTCCTGGGCCGTGAAGGCGGAAAACCGATTCTATTCCCATACGCTCGGAGCCCGGCCCAGCGCCTGCACGACGGGAGGTACCGGGGGAAGTGAATCGGGGCGAAGTCTTTCCCCCAGAAAAAGGAACAAGGTGGCTGGGGGGGCGACGTCGAGGTTCCGCGCGAGCCCCCCGCCCCGGGGCTGTCCCACCGGCGGGGGCTCCGAGGCCTGGGTGTCCCCGGGCTGTCCCACCGGCGGGGGCTCCGAGGCCTGGGTGTCCCCGGGCTGTCCCACCGGCGGGGGCTCCGAGGCCTGGGTGTCCCCGGGCTGTCCCACCGGCGGGGGCTCCGAGGCCTGGGTGTCCCCGGGCTGTCCCACCGGCGGGGGCTCCAGGGCTGGGTGTCCCCGGGCTGTCCCACCGGCGGGGGCTCCGAGGCCTGGGTGTCCCCGGGCTGTCCCACCGGCGGGGGCTCCAGGGCTGGGTGTCCCCGGGCTGTCCCACCGGCGGGGGCTCCAGGGCTGGGTGTCCCCGGGCTGTCCCACCGGCGGGGGCTCCGAGGCCTGGGTGTCCCCGGGCTGTCCCACCGGCGGGGGCTCCGAGGCCTGTGTGTCCCCGCGCGTCCCCTCGCGCGGATGGACCCGGACGGCTGCGCGGGCCGCGCGGCAGAGGTGCCAGGGCTCCCGCGAGGACACGCCCGGCGGCCGGGGGTTAAGTCCCGCGCCCTTTGTTCCGGGCCCCGCGCCCGCACGGCCCGGCCGCGTGCAGGACCTGCTCGGGCGGCACGGGCCCCAGAGATGCCCGGGGCGCCGCCGCCCGCACGGCCCGGCCTGCGCCGCTCGGCCCCGCGCCGTCCCGCGGCCCGGCCCGGCCCCCCTTGCGGGCCGACACCCCTCCGGCGCGCAGCCGCCGCGGGCGGGAAAGCGCCCGGGCTCCGAGCACCGCGCGCCGGCGGCCGGGCGCGCAGGGCGGGGCGGGGCCGGCGCGGGGGCGGGGCCAGCGCGGCACCGGAAGCGCCGGGAGGCCCGAGCCGTCCCAGGGTGCCCCGCGCGGCGTGGACTCGGGCCGCTGCCGCCATCCCGCTGGCGAGAGGCTGAGAGAGGCCGCCGCTCGCCGGCCGGGCCGTGTGGCCAGTGCGTGAGGGCGCGGGGCCGGGCCAGCGAGACGCACCGCGCAGCCGCCGCCGCCGCCGCCGAACGGACATGTTGGGGCCCAGCGCCGCCGCCGCCGCCGCCGCCGCCTCCGAACGGCACTGAGGGGCCCGCCGCCGCCGCCGCCCGCTTCCTGCTCGGCCCGGCCCGGCCCCGGCCCCGCCGCCCCGCCGCCCCCGCCCGCGCGAGGCCTATGCGAGCGGCGGGCCCGGAGCAGCCGCCGCAGCGCGAACATGGACGCCGTCAACGCCTTCAACCAGGAGGTGAGGCCGGCCGGCCGGGCGGGCGCCTCTCGCCGCGGCGGCTTCGAGGCGGCGCTCGGGCGGGGACGCTTCCTGCCCCGGCGCCGGGCGGCCGGGCGGCGGGGCCCGCGCGCCGCGGCCTGCGGCCCGGGAGGGTGGCGGCGGCCGGCGCCCCTCCCCCACGGCCCGGCGGCGACCTCGGCCGCGTCCCGTCCGCGCGCGCCGCTCGCCCGCTGCCCCGCGAGCGGCGCCGGGCCCGGAGCGTGGGGGCGGGGCGGCCGGCTCCCGGGGCTCGGGCCGCGGCGGCTGGACTCTGATCCCGCCGGGAGCCCGGGGGCGTTCCCCTCCCCGCGGAGCGCGCGCCCTGGGAAGCGGGGTCGGCGAAGGTGCGGGGCGCCCGCGGTCGCTCCCCGGCGCGCACGCCGCGCTCTCGGCCCGCCGCCCGGCGTGACTCCCGCGAAGTTGCCCGGGCGCCCGCCCCGGCCCCCTCCCGGGCATTTGCATGCGAAAGCGCCCCGCTCCGCCCGCCCCTTCCGCCCGGCGCCCCGGCGGCTCGGCCTGGCCCGGCGGGCTCGCGGTAGTGGATCGTCTTCCTTCCGCGGGCGCGGGGGGCAGGCCCGCTCGGGAAACAGCCGCCGCGCGAGTTGGGGCGTCGGGAGGGCGCGGGAGCAGCCGCCTCTCCGAGGTGGCGCGGGCCCGCCGGTGTCACGCGTGGCCGTGGTAACTTCGGGTTTGCGGAGAGAGCCGCGGGAGGGGAGCCGGTGGCCCGGAGCCGCCCCGGGTGTTGGCGGGGTGTTGGCGGGGTCTTGCCGAGTCCCGGCGACGCTCTCAGGAGGACGCAGCCCTTCCCGCTCTCCCAGGCGCTGTTGCAGCTGCGGGGCCGCTCGGGTCGAGCTGGCTGCGGGAGGCCGCGGGGTGCTTAGGTTCGCAGAGCTGGAGAGTGGCCCGCCGGGAGTCCGGCGCGGGGTTCCCGGCTGCAGCCGAGTCGGGGCGCCCAGACCCCAGGTGGCAGCTGTCTGCTGGGCGGCTCCGCGCGCGGCGGCCCGGGCAGGGCGCTTCTGTGCCCCCGCCTCCCCTCGCCGGAGCAGGTGCTCGGCAAGCACTTGTTGAGCGAGTGACGGTGTGCACAGCGGGGCAGCAGCTTCTTAGAGATCAGGCGTGCATTTCCTTCCAAGGTGGACACTTCAGTTTTAAAAAAATTTTAAGTGCGTTTATTCAAGCTGGGGACAGTGAAACAAGGAGAGGCTTAGGGTAGAAGAAGCAACAAAGGGGGCCTTGGAGACAGGGTCACGGGGCTCAGCCCTGACAAGCTGCCACTTTCCATGCTCCCCTGGTTGCAGGTCTGGTGGGGACCCCTTAGAGTCTAGGAGATGCACGCCTGTGGGGGAAGGGAAGGGCACAGGTGTGCTCCTGGAGGGGGGAGACAGCTCCCCACGTATTGGATGTATGTAAGTTTTAAGTATGTTTTGATTTTTAGTGAGAGAGAAACGTTGATTGGCTGCCTCCTGTATGCACCCTGAACAGGGATCAAACCTGCAACCTGGGTATGCTCCGTGACCTGGAATCAAACCAGTGACCTTTTGGGGACAGATGGTCGACCAACTGAACCACACCAGCCAGTGCAATTTTTAGTGAATGAAAGGAATGATTTATTAAGATCACAAGTATTTATGCCCTGGGCTAGGTAGCTCCGTTGGTTAGAGCATAATCCCCATAAGCTGAGGTTGTGGGTTCGATCCCCAGTCAGGGCACATACAAGAATCAACCAATGAAAGCATAAATAAGTGGAACAACAAATCAGTGTTTCTGTCTCTCTCTCCCCCTCCCTTTATCTCTAAAAAAATTTTTTAAAGATCAGAAGTATTTAAGTATTATGGAAGTTGTTACTAAGCACATTATTAAGTGAAGACATGTTAATTCTGATAAAGTGTGATGAGTAGTTTTTACTTTGAAAAATCAGATTTAGGAATTATATTGACTCCTTTAAAGGGGGGATTGGTATTTTAACCCTTTTAAGTGTACAAGGTGAGAATTTGAGTATTGCTCATTTTCCTCAGATAACTTTCATTTCCATTTCTTGTCTTACTTTAGGAACTTCAGATTGCATCGTGTTAGGTGTATGTTGTCAATTCAACTCTCCCCTGAAGAAAACTGTTCTGGAGAAGTTAGTCTGAATTTAAAATCCATCTTGTGCCTGCTCAATTTACAGTGCTTCTCAGTTATTTCTTCCCATTCAAGAAATACGATTGATCAGTTCTCAGTGCCCTCAAATCTCCCAAATCTTACTTCCCAGACATGATAGTGCCCACTCAGCTGCAGAGCTGTGCCCTGACTGTGGTGGCACTGCCGAGGCCCCCTGCCCCCTGCCCCCTGGGAGTCCATCTAATAGAGGACAAGAGACTTAGGCAAATTACTTTACTATTTTTAATCCTCACCAAGGATATGCGTACTGATTTTAGAGAGAGGGGGAAGGGGGAAAAAGAAACATTGATCGGTTGCCTTCTGTACCGTGCCCCAACGGGATGAAACCCCCAACCTTTTGGTATATGGGGTGACACTCCCACCAACTGAGCCACACTGGCCAGTGCTGGCAAATGACTAATATTGTGATGAAACACTTCCTTTGTGGCCTTTGTAAAATACTGAAGACTTGGGAAGGGAAAAGTGTATAGGAAAGAGCAATGAAGGGGCGACTGTGCTGAGATAAATGAGCAGACGTGTGACTCGACATCACTGGAAGGTGAGGGTGGTTACATAGTTTGGGGCCTGACAAGTTTCATGTCTAATGTGTTCGAATTCCATTGTTAGGCTCTTGTCTTCAGGGGAGAGTTGGATAAACTGAAGGTTGGAAGTCATGGGGTGATATAATCAAGACACTTGCTTGATTTGTAGTGTGTGCGGCGGAGGCCAGAGATTTGGGAAAGAGTGGAGTAGGGTTTGAACTTGACGTGTCTGTACTGTGGTGGGAATGGAGAGGAAGGAAAGATGTGGGCCAGAGGGAATTGTGGGCCTTGGCAGCTGATAGGCTTCGTCAGCACCTTTGCCCCCACGTGCTCCATGCTAGGAGCATGGTAATGCCATTAACACAGGCAAGCACTCATCGGAGCATGTTTAGTGGAGGGGAGATGTGTTTGGTTTTTGAGCAGGTGAAGTTTGAATTTGAAGGTCCTGTGGAAATTTTGGCATTCAGTTGGACATCCAGGATTCAAACTTGAAGCAGCCAAAAGAGGTTGATATCCAGGAGTCACTCACATGGGCCTTGAAGAAAATTGAGGCCAGGAAGAAAGGAATTAATACTTAATAAGCAGCTCTGGTGTGTCAGGCACTTTATACATATCTGGTTTAGTGTTTCTACAGCCTTACCTAGACATCCACTTACAGATTAGAACTGATCTTTGAAGAAGGTAGCAGTGATTCGCCCAAGGGCTGCTGCTAGAGACAGAGTAGCAGAGCTGGGGTTGAATGTAAACCTCCCAGCCTTATTGTTGCCTGAATGTGATGTTGTGTTTTTGTTTTTGTTTTTATCCTCACCTGAGGACATTTTCACACCTAGCTTCAGATAGAGCGGGAGGGAGAGAGAAAAACAGAGACACATCAACTTGTTGCCTCTCGCACTACCCCAACCAGGTCCGGGAACAAACTGCAACTGAGGTACGTGAACTTAGTGGAAACTGAACCCGGGACTCTCTGGTCCGCAGGTAGATCCTCCAACCGCTGAGCCAAACTGGCCAGGGCTGAAGGTGATGTTTTGTAGTGTCAGGGGAGTGGTCACAGGTTAAGTAAGACTTAAGAAAAAGCTGTCTAAAATGTTTGAGGGTAGTGGGATCTGAAGTGTATGGTTGAATGGTGGTGGAGAAGGTGAAGTAAGGTGGAAGTTCCATTGTGAGGGATTCAAGAGGAAAGTTGCTCCAGTGGCGAAGGGAAGGAAGAGCAGTTAACAGTGTACTAGGCAGGCACTGGAGTTGGGCCTTTCACGTTTGTCCAGTGTGTACAAGGTCTGTGCTTAGGGGTGTTGAAGCCCTGGTCTCTCTCAGATTGGAGTAGAAGCTTGAGTATGTGGGAAGAGAGGAAGTATAGAGCAGCATAGTTTAAAGCAAAAGAGGGGGGTGACTTAAGCAAAGTTGTACCTAAGAGGAGGGAGAGAAGAACCAGGTAAAACAGGTCAGTTTCTGATGTAGAAGGAAAAAAAAGGAGAGAATATCAACGGACACCCACTAACAGCACTTTCTGGCAAGGCACACGTTAAGAGTTGTAAAAGATGAAAAGATGAATGAAAAAAAGTCAGTCATCAGCCCTGGCCGGTTTGGCTCAGTGATTAGAGTGTTGGCCCGCAGACCAGAGACCTGGGTTCGGTTCCCGCTAAGGGCACGTACCCCGGTTGCAGTTTGTCCCCCACCCCGGTTGGGGCCTGTCAATGTGTCTCTCTCACATCAATGTTTCTCTCTCTCTCTCTCTCTCTCTTCCTCCCACTCTATCTAAAGATAAATGCAAAAATGTCCTCGGGTGAGGATAAAAAAACAAATCAGTGATCAGTTGTGGCCGATTCTTAGTTGTGTTCTGCTATGTTTATTCACTCCCTTTGCTTAATGCACGAAGTTTACAAATGGGATATTTTAAATCATCTCTTGCACTTGTGGCCTTTAATCAATCATCTGTAAATCCAAAAGAACATGTCTTCCTCCCCCTACTTCCCGTCAGAGGCAAATAATGGATTATCAATCTCTGGTCCATTAGCAAAATACAATATTCTATGTTTTGATACATATGGGTAGTGTATTATACATATTCTGCAATGTGGTCTTTTGTTCAATTTTGTTCAAACATTAATACTACATGCATGATAAGATTTAGTTCACTCTAACTGCTGTGTAGTATACCATCCTTAGAATAAATTGCATTCTGTTTATCTGGTTTCCCAGTTGATAAACATATGGGTAGTTTTCTCATATTTTTCCTAACAAACACTGAAATGAACAATCTTAAAAGTCTCCTTGTGTTGTAAAAGTTCCTCTGGGACAGCT